GTTTGCTTGTTTGTTTTGGTGAGGAACAGAAAAGTGTGGATTTGGGAACAGCCTGTATATCCATTAACAGATGAATGGATAAAGAAAATGTAAAAAAAAAAAAAGAGAAAATGTGGTATTTATATGCAGTGGAGTATTACTCTGCCATAAAGAAAGATAAATTTGAGTCATTCATTGGAAAATGGATGCACTTTAAGACGATACTGTTAAGTAAAATAAGTCAGACACATAAGATTAAACATTGCATAGTTTGTCTTATACAAGAAACTCAAAATATAAATAAATTCAAGAGCAAAACAAAAGATGGATAATAGGAAACAGGGAGACAGAGGAGCTTTTGCAAAAGGAAAGAGGCCCAAGAGGTGGAAGGAGAGGTTGGGGGGGGAAGAAAAAAGAATCACAAAACATTTGCAGCTGTGGATTCTAGACGTGGAGGACACCAGGTGTGAAGTCTGGCTGGGATACTCCAGTGGTGGATTCTTGGGAAAGTCTCTTGGGTTTCTGAGTTTGAAAGTAAAAAGGAGGTGATCAGGATAGGTCTGTGAATACGAATCCAGTGAAATGTCTGTGAAACCCTTGGTAAGATGCCTGCTTGAGGACAACCCTGGTAAATGTTAATTGCTGTGGATCTAGTCGTCGCAGTGACTGGTCACTGGTGATTATTGGCTAACTAGCTGTAAGCGGATGATAGTAAAGTACAGAGGTGCGGGAATCAGAAGTCTCTTACAAGAGCCAGTTTTGAGTTTAGGAGCTTAGTGGAACCATGGGATGACTGGTCACCTATCAATGAAAGCTTGTATTGGCCATGGGCCAACCTCCTGCTCTGAACTTCCTGTGTCCTCTTGCGAAATGAAGGGGCTCCGTTGGGTCACTGTCCTCACTGGTAGTTAACCAACAAGATCATTCAAGCTTACCTAAGAACTCCGGGTCCTACTGTCTTCCCCACTCCCATGCTGGCGTGGTTGCCCTGGAGCCAGGCACTGTGATGGTTCTGAAGCTCTCCAGCTGGCCCCCCATGTGGCCTGCACTGAGGACCTCAGGATAGGACAGTGGCCAGCAGCACTGCATCCCGGGTGGGAATCGGCCCCAGGCACAGGCTGACCCCTCCGCAGCAGCTGCTGCATTGACAGCTGTCCCCGGCGGCCCCCCTCCTAAGCAGGCAGCGCTGGAACTCTCACCACCAGGGCTTCCTATTTCATAACGGAGGGGTCTTGGAAGAAAACTATGACACCGAACTTTCAGAAATGCCTCTTCATCCTTCCATGGGCCTCTGGAATCAGAAAGGTCTGCTTCCATCTCTGCGCACCAAAGTCCTAGCTCCTTTTCATTTCAACACATTTAAGTCGGTGAAAAGGCTGGCACGGGCATGTGGAGGGAAGGGTTTATTTTGAAGATGCAGAGAAGCTTCGCAAAGCCGTCCTCCAAACTTTGCACGGCTCTCCGCACTGCTCTTCACGTGAGCACCGCAGGAGGCTGGAAGCATAAACCACATAGAGGAAAGAGAACCAAGTTACAAACTCTTGCAAGGCTGGTTTCAAGTCTAATGCTCTGGATCCTGCTCCTTCTAAACAAGAAATTCTCTTAATTTTTTTTCCCCTCTTATGTTTTTAGCTTGGAATTTCCTGAAACCTTAAGATAGTGTTTCTTGAACTGGGGTCTATGTACCTAAGAGGCATAAAAATAATTTTGAAAGTGTGTGAGGTTTTGCTGATTGAATAGGACTTTGCTCATGAAAGCATTTGGTGTCTGGTAGGTACTTGGTAAACTTTAATTTTTCTTTCTTGCCGGATTTTTTTTTTTTTTTTGTCTCTTTTTTGAGACAGGGTCTCACTATGCAGTTGAGGCTGGCCTTGAGCTCAATTTATAGCCCAGGCTGGTCTCAAACTCACAATGATCCTCCTGCTTCAGCCTCCTGAGTGCTGGGGTTACAGGTGTGCACCACGACGCCTGGCTTTGCCAGATCTTTTCTAGTGGAAAAATCCTCTTTTTCTCCCACCTTTGTCTGCCTTGAGTCCTACAGATGCTACTGAAGAACAAGGTAGAAGACTTCTATGAGAGAGTTGGAATTCGGATCAGGAAGGCCTGAGAAGCCACTGCATTAATTAATGAAATTAAATGATAAACTCTGAAAGCAAAATAGCCGCCAAACTCCTCTAAACTGCCCACTGTAGGGTCCCATACGTTTCTACCGATACTGAAGTGTATAATGTAATAACTTCCCCTCCCCTTAGATATACAAGGGAGAAAGATAGAGTGGTAATGGTTTTCTGGTGTGGCATTTTAGAGCACCGATTGCTAAACCCGCCCCTCGGTGAACGAAGGACATTGGCAATGACGCTAATTTTAAAATTTTAATCGACCCATGCTACTTGCTCACATCTGTCGGGAGCGTGGACACAGTGTGTAAAAATCACATCAGGGTGATTGGTGTATCCATCGCCTCAGGCGTTCTTTGAGACGGGAACATGGGAAAGCCAGCGGTCATCTGTTGTCCTGCATAGATACCCCGCTGTGCTATGGAACAGTACAAGTCGCAGGTCCTACCTGACTGCAACCCACAGTGACCCTGTTTCTAAGTGAGGTCACAGTTGAAGGGATTGGAGGTTGGGACTTCAGCGTAGACTCGGCGGCGAGCTGGACCCGGACCTCGCCCTCATCCTAGTGCTGTGAAGTGCCATCCCGCGCTTTTGGTGCCCAGTCCCCTAGTGACTAGTGATGCTGAGCGCTCACAGTGCTCCTTGGCCATTTTTATATCTCCCGTGGCAAAACACACAGTACAGCCTGCTGCTCGTCTGCTTAATTAGGTTCTCTTCTTCTTATCGTGTGGTAAGAGTTGTTTGTTAGTCTGGTTGCCAGTTCTAGATCAGAAATAACAAATGACAGTATCTGATCCCATTCTGTGAGTTCTCCATTTACTTTCTTGATGGCAGCCTTTGAAGCACATCAGTTTTTAATTCTGACACGCAGTTTTTTTTCCTTTTATTTATGTGCTTTTTAGTGTCACATCTAAGAAAACATTTCCTCATAGAAGGTTGTAAAGGTGTTTTTCTTCTATGTTTTCTCTTAAGAAATTTGGTAATAATTTGAAAATTTTTTGCACATTATTTCTTTAAAAATTTCCCCTTCCTCTTTTTCTCTTCTTTTTCTTCAACTTCTTTATGTGTATGTCGTTATTCCTGATCTCAAGTTCACTACTTCTCCTTCCAGTTAAATGTAATATTGGTCCTCCCCAGTGAATTATATTTTGGAGACAGGCTCTCACTGTATAGTTCAGGCTGCCTTTGAACTTACCAGCCTTGAACTTGCAGTATAATCCTGCCTCAGCCTCCTGTCTTCTGGGATTACAGGGGTGTGCCACCATATGCAGCAAGTGAAATTTTATTCCAGATATTTACTTTCAACTCCAGACTTTCTCTTATATATTTTAAAAACAATTCTTGTCTTTTATTAATATTCTGTATTTGGTGAGACTTCCTTTTTATTCCCTGTGAATATCTGATTCTCCAGCTTTTCCTTTAGGTTTTTGCCTCCCGCTAACTTCAACAGGTGGGGCTACCTCACGCACCTACCGTGTTCTAGAATTGCACTGATTGGTTTCACGGATGCTGTGTGGATGGGGTCATTCACACAGAGCGAAGTCTGGGTCATGTCAAAGAAAGACAAGCTCTGAGATGCGGGCTTTCCAGCAAACTGCTAAACAGATCACATGGTGGTAATTCTCCAGGGATGGGGCAGTTAGGGTGGCCTGGACTTGCTCCCTGCCCACCAGGGGCTGGTAGGCTGTTTTCCACAGGTGGAATAGCTGTGGCCTTATCATATTTCAAGGCTTCCATGAAGATGAGAGAGATGGATTTCAGACAAGCTAACGTGGTATAAGGCTTTCTATTGTTACTAAGAGTTTACGTTTTGGGTTCCTGCAGAATTTAATTATTTTCCAGAGTTCTACGAAGCTGCTGTCGGTAGTTCTCTCCAGCATTCCTACTGTGTTCAAGGACGGGTGGAATTTGGAAGCTTCTGATGTCTCCATTCAGAATGTGATAGCATCCTCTCTAAACTGTACATGTATTCTGAGTCTTATGGGGATCGTGGGAATCTTGCCCTCACCCTATGAACATTATCTTGAATCTAGTATAAGACAGGTAGGGGGAGGAACTGGACCCTGCCTTTGGCCACAAGACTCACATTTTAGGAGAATAGGACTGTGTTCAGCTAACGGCAAAGCTGAGAGGACCAGGTGAGACCCTGTAAGGCAAAAGGCCCGTGAGATGAGGCGGGACTTCAAAAGTCCTCACAGCCACCCGCAGATGGCAGCCTCATTCTCGTTCACCCTGACTGCCAGAGGAGCTCAGAGCCCACGTGGCTCAGCAGCCTTCCAGAATCTGGAAGAGCACCCCAGCTCCAGCTCTCTCCGGGGCCGATATAGGAAGGCAGCATCCTCGGTGTGACCACCACATCCTCAAGGAGATGGGAAAATTCGGGAGGAGTTCAAGGAAGGCAGTAGGAATCCATAAATGTATTTATAGTGTGAGGTGTGTCTGTAGTGTTGGTGTCTGGCTTTCTTTGCTCTTCTCAGCTTTACTTAATGCTGAGATAATAGGGCATGAATGACTGAACTCCAGCCCTGGCACCAGCAGACCCAGATCTCAGTCTCTGCTCTACCACTTTGCTAACTGTGTGAACTGTGGAAGGCCACACTAGCTCAGCCAGGTGGGGAGTGTAACTCCCACGGTACAAAAAAGCAGGTATTAAATGAGATGGAATGGATGAGATTTTTTAGGGATATGCATATATATATAAAATTGTTTTTGAGACAGAGTCTCATTATGTAGTTCAGGCTGGCCATAAACTCACTATAGAGTCCAAGTTGGCCTTGAACTCAAGGCAATCCTCCTGTCTCAGCCTACCAAGTGCTGGGATTATGGGCGTGCATCACCATGCCCAGCTCAATATTTTAAAAATCTATCTTGATTTAATTTTATTTTCCACATTTTTTCTCACAGAAGCAAAGACTGCCCAAAGATACTAGATGCATTCAAAAATGCATTCATATCAAAGAACCCTTGCAACATTACGAAAGAAGACTATGAGCCCCTCCTTGACTTGGTCAACCAAACAGTACCCTGCAACAAGGTAACTGGGTCCCGTTATTGATCCTGAAACTGGGTATAAAAGCCAGTGGGAAGAGGACACAGGAACAAATTTTGAGTAGGGTCAGGGAAGAGGGAAAATGGAGGCGGTATTGCAACACAGGTGTGAGTGTTAGGGATAGAGTCACTGGGACCACTGGGGAACCAGTGTATCATCTGACCTGCAGGGATGGAGGGTAAGGGTGAGCCAGGGGAAGAAGAAAGACTTGGCCCAAAATCGGGCAAAGTAAACTTAACACCAATCTCAGCCCACACAAGAAACAAAAGCAACCTGACTTCATAGAAGGACAAAGCTTTCCCCTGGCCCTGGTAACATAAATAAATAGATAGTAGCAATTGCATTTGCATTCGCAGCCGCCTCCACCCCCATCCCTTTTGCGGAGTGCCGTCCTGTTGGGTTCTAAGGTCCGCATGCGCGGCTGCACTGGTGGACAGACGAGCCACTTGTCAGCGCTCCCATCTCACCAGCGAGAACGTTGAGTTTAGGTGGCCAGTGATTGCCCAAGTGTGGAAGGCTGGAAATGTAAATAGAACAAGGCTTGGAGGCAGACAGGCGTGGGTTCACGTGCAGTGATTACACGGGAAAAGGCGCATCACGGAGAGCGTTTTCTCTGAAGTCAGTGTTTATAACAGGCCAAGTTTCTGAGGGTCCGTGATTGTTTTTGTGAGGCCCCTAACCCCATTCACAACTCACAGCCTCTCATCTGGTTCCACTGTTAGTGAGCTGAAGTTATGGCCTCCGCAGACAAAGTGCTTGGTAAATAATAATGCCGCCTGAGGTGATGCTGAATGACTTACTTGCATGACTTCATTTAATCTGCCCAGCCGCCTGTGAGTTTATCACAGTCACTGCCCCTACCAGCTCGCAGGTGCAGAAGGTGTGGCTTAGCAGTACTTTGGTCAAACAGCTTATAAGTGGTGGCGCTCGGTGACATCAACAGAGACCAGGACTTCAGAGCCCACGCTACGAGCCACACCCCCTGCGGCATCCGGCTAGGCTGAGTGGATGGATTGCTTCATGAGGCAGTGTTATCCTGAAGTGTGGCTGTCTGTGCCTGGAGGGAGAGCCTGAAACACAACCCACTGTATTTTTTTTTTTTTTTTTGGTGCTGTCAGGGAGCACTGGGGAAGGTGGAAGAGACTGTGGAGTTTTTAAAGAATCAATGAGCATTTCTCTCAGGAAACAGCACATAGGCGAAACTTGGTGCAGATAGCTTTAGGAATACTGGAACGCCCTAATGCCCCCTCCAGAGGTGACTTTATGCCATGTTCGTTGTAAGACTTTGATCAGTGGCTTCCAGAGTTTCTTGACTATAACCCAGAATACTAAATGCATTTTACACGGTGACCTAGGACACACACACACACACACACACACACACACACACACAGACACACACACACACACACACACAGGCTCACTGTTTCACACAGAAGGCAATGATGCTCAGAACAGTCTTTACCCTTCCTACACATGACTTACTCTGACTATTTTGGGGACGCCTTTGTTCTTTCTCAGAGTCTGTTCTGGAGCAAGTCGAAGGACCTGGCCCATCAGTACACCAGGGTGCAGGGCGAGATGTTCACGCTGGAGGACACGCTGCTGGGCTACCTTGCTGACGACCTCACGTGGTGTGGAGACCCTGGCTCTGCAGGTGAGGACCCGGCCGCGCAGTACCAACCCCCGCCCGGGGTGTCCGAGCAAAGGAGCCCTGCCAGGGCCCCGAAAGACAAGTGGCGGGAGAGCCACAGGCCATCATCCTGACGCCATCTGTGGCTGTAAGGACAACTCAGGCCAGTGCACTTGACGAACCCCTAGTCTGCTTGGGAGTCTGCAGTCACACTTCTCTCTGAGTCCCTCCTTTCTGTTTTTCTTCCAGTACCGGGAATCGAACTCACAACCTTGTGCTTGCCAGGCAGGCGCTGTGCCACTGAGCTAAATCCCCAGCATGAGTCCCTCCTTTCTGAGTGCTTCTAAATTCTTGGTATTTTGCTTCCTATGTGGACGTCATGTAAGACCAAAGAATTTGTGAGGTCTCCGAGTGACGCAGGCCAAAGTCCTGTCCTATACAAGCCATGGCAGCCACAGTGGCCCCCAGTGCATGGCTCTTCTGTCATCTGTCAGTATGGCCTTGTCTTACACAGGAAGACCCAGAACATCTTGCTCAGAAGGGTGTTTCCATCTCCAAAATCGTACTAAGTCCAACTTCACTTTTTTCCTTCTCTTTTTATTTGTATGGGGGATATTTTTATTTATATGATTTTCAGTCTTATTTTTTGTGCTTTTGATTATTTCCTTAAAAGTTTATCTTATTATTTTCTTATCTATTTATTTATTTGAGACAGTCTTGATATGTAGTTCAGGCAGGCCTTCAACTCACTATGTAACTGTCTTAGTTGCTTTTCTCTTGTTGCTGAGACAAAATACCCAACACTCAAAGAGGGAAAGGTTTACTTAGCTCACAGTTTGTGGAGGTTTCAGTCCGTACTTGGCTGGATCCAAGGCAAGGAGGCACAAGGCAGACAGTTCTTGGCGGCAGAAAACAGCAAAAGCAGCATGAGCTGAAGGCGGGCAGAGCAAGCCTCTTTTTCTCCCTTATATTGTATAAAGGCTACCGCCCTAGAGTGGGTCCTTTACAAGCTGTCCTCTTGCACAGGCTCAGGATGTTTACAAAGTGAGGACCCTGGACCCCTGCTGAGTCACTTAGTTAAGTTTCTAGACTTCTCAGCTTGACACAGTGTCTCAACCATTACAGTTCCCCCGGCTGACTTTGAGTTTGTTGTGATCCTCCTGCCTCAGCCTTCTGAGTGCTGGGATTACAGGCATGCACCACCACACCTGGCTTCCCCTCCTTTCTTGCAAGGACTGTTGTAGTATTCTTACTGCTTGCTCTTATCTCGTTAGGTCAGCCTCCGTCTGAGGACCGTAATGTTCTTCTTAAAATGAAGATGTGATTATAAGACTTCCTACCTAAAACCTAGAACGCTCTCCTGTGCCTGTAATGTCTAAATTCCTTGGGCTGGCCTGGCCTCACCTCTCATACCCTCATCTTCCTGCCCCCAAGGCCCAATCTCAATGTCCTCATCTGCACTCACCAGGCGGCTCACAGCTCTGTGCTCCCACACTCCGTCTCTCTGCATGGAGCGGCTTCTCTTTCTAGTGAAGTGATGACTGCCCCTGGGCTCGTTAGCACAGACAGCTCTTCACATACTCACCCTGTCTGAAGTCTATCTGAAGACGCCTGCCCCTCCTTCAAAACAAAGTAGAGCACCAAGCTTCTTTGTTGGCGCTGTACAACCCCCAGCCCAAGCCGACCTTGCTCTCGTTATTTGATTTCGCTGCATCATGTGCTCTCTGGAGATAGGGCTTTCACCTAGTTCCTCTCTCTGTCCTCACGACATGCCACTCAGTGTGCCCAGTACGTACGTACCTTTGCAATGAAGTACATGTTTGACTTAGTTGCTTTCCTTGTTGCTGGGACACAATATCCAACCCACAACTTAAGGGAGGAAATGCTATTCTGGCCCACAGTTTGTAGAGGTTCCACTCCACAGTTGGCTGGCTCCAAGGCAGGGTTGGCAGGGTGGCATGGCAGAGGAAAATTGCTCATGGCATGGTGGTTGGAAGGAGAGAGAGAGGGAGAGAAAGAGAGAGAGAGAGAGAGAGAGAGAGAGAGAGAGAGAGATATCAAGGGAGAGGGAGGAAGGCAGACCCTTCCAGGCTACCACCCCCAGTGACCTACTTCCTTCCATAATGTTACACCCAACACTGCATTTAGCTATAAACTCACCAGTGGGCTAATCCACTGATGAGTATCACACCTCCATGATGCAGTCACCCCCAGAGCTGCACCTATGGGCACATGAGTCTTTGTGGGGGGGAACATCTAGATCTAAGCCATAACAGTGCCCTTGAAGGAAGTGACACCTACGCTGTTTTGATGCTCCATGTTGCCCCTCCCTTAAAGGCTGAGCTTATCTTGCTGGAAGTGAGCATAGAAAGCCTTTAAAGCCAGCTGAGCCCAAGAATGCCGGGACTCATGGAGGCAGGGAAGGAAACTCAACAAGACAGAGCTGTCCAGAAGCAGAGAAGTGCTTTGGCCAGTTCACCAGTTTTACCTCTGATTCTTGCTGGACTCAGGAATAAGGATAGTGGCTTGTTTCTGTTGGGTGAACTTTTGCTGCCACTTGCAAGAATGATGACTCAAGCCTGTCAGTGTGTGCCAGCCTGGGATCAGTGTGTGCCAGCCTGGGAAGGTAAGAACTTGGAAGGGACTCAGGGCACATTAGTTAAATTGAGCCGAGATGTGCTCCTCCTCCGGCCCCCATCTTGGCTCTGATGCTGTTGGAAAATGATTCTACTGTGATTGAGAAGCCAGGGAAGGATGGGGCTTCCTGAGAGCTCTTTTGCACTTTAATTATTTTCTATCAATTATGTCCTTTAGAACTGAACCATCAATCTTGCCCGCACTGGAATGAGTGCCTCAGCAACCCGGGCTCAGTGTTCTGGAAAGTGATTTCCCAGAAGGTAAGCGACAAGCAGTACAGTTCTAGAATGTTCAGACATAGAACTTAAAGAGACATGGAACTTAAAGATGGCATCCAGTAAATGGATCACAGATCATTTTAGGAGTGAAAAGACTGTAGGATTCTTTCCTGAGAAAAGGATTTGGAAGCACATGCCAGCAGATTTTCACACACAATATTACAGTAGGCTCTAGTTGAAGAATCATAGCTCTTACCTATTACTTTGACTGTGGCTGCCAGGAAGTTAGGCCTAGGTTCTCTCTCTGATCGGGTATTGATTAGATTCATCGAATAGTATTATTAAATCTACATTTATGGTTTATTTACTGTGTGCTCAGCTCTTTACATGAATTGAAAACTTTCATCCCCACAAGAATGCTATGGGGTAAGTACTATGGATATCATGCCTTTCACAGATGACAAAACAGAGGTGCAATGTAGTCATCTGTAACATAAGCAATCTAATAGATTTGGGACTTTATCCCAATTCATCTAACTCCAGAACAGAACTTGAGTGAAGAAATACCACCACCCTCCCGCATTAGCTGTCTTCTCTTGAAACTGCCTGTGCATATTTATTTTTCTTGTAAGTTGCTTCTTTGGAAATGATCAAAGGAAAACTTTTTTGTGAGTGGATGTGGGAGGGAAGCATGAAAGTAATTAAGAAAGAAATGAAGAAAAAGAGCAAGTAAAAATATACTAATTACAAGGCTTCAAATTAAACTTAGATATCTGAGGAGGAGGGTGTGGCAGGCAGAAAATTTATATGTAAGTGAATATGGTTGAGTCCATTTGTGCTGCTTTAATAAAATACTGGGTGTGGGTAATTTACAGATTTCTCATAATCGGCAGGCAGGGAAGTCCAAGGTCAAGAAGCGAGCAGATTGGACAACTAGTGAAGGCTGCTCTCTGATTCCAAGATGGCTCCCTGCTGCTATGTTCTCACATGTCAGAGGGCAGAAGGGCAAAAAGGTCTAGATAGTTCCCATCAGCCATTTTATAAGGGCACTAGTCCTATTCACAGAGGTAGAGCCCTTATGGCTTAATCACTTCCAAAAGGCCCCACCTACTAACACTACTACATTGTTTCCAACTTATGGATTGGGGCAGGTGAGAAGGAATTCGGGCAGGTGGGCAGGTGTATGGATGCATATGCCTAAACTACAACAGCATATCTGATGCATTTCCTGTTTGACAAACTATGGGATGCCATGTCTAAGTCATTCCCATTTAGTCTTCCCAATAGGCAGCTTGAGAAGGAACAAATCTCTACATTAAAGGTGAAGAAGCTAGAATTCTTAGGCTAAAGGACTGAGCCAAGGTCAGTGGCTAAGAAGCAGCAGAGCTGAAAGAGCCAGACTTCCATCCTCCTGGTTCCGAAGCAGTGTTCTTCAATTTTGGTCTTTGAATCTGCTTATTGGTTTTTTCTTTTAAGTGGAAACTTTGATTTTCTTTAACTCCCTTTTGGTACCAAACTGAACTGCCTTGAGGGGATTCAGGAAAAGGTGAAAAAGCAGAGAGCCTGGGAGTTGAAACTTGGGCAGATTTAGCTGTGTACAGTGGTATAAGCTTGTAATCACAGCACTCTGGGAGGCTGAGACAGGAGGATTACAAGTGTGAGCCCAGCCTGGGCAATTTAGGACTTAGAAAATAAAAATAAGAAAATTAAAAATAAGAAAATTAAAATAAAAATAATAAGAAAATTAAAATAAAAATAAGGAAATTAAAAATAAGAAAATTAAAATAAAAATAAGGAAATTAAAAATAAGAATTTTTTTTTAAAAGCTGAGGATGTAGGTCAGTGCAAATTCCCTGTGTTTAATTCCCAGTATGACAAATAACAACAAACCTCCAAAAAAACAACTTGTTCAGATTTCTCAACCTTTCTAACCTTCAAACTCCTCATTTGTCAAGTGGAGTTCAAAATACGCATTAAATAAAATGCCACTCTCCTGATAAGTAACTGAGAACTCGTTTGTTTAACAAGTATTCATAGAGGACCTACTAGATACAGTGAAAAGTCAGAGAAATACATTGTTTGTCTGTTTGCTTTATCTGACAATAGTTTCTATTTTGTCATTCTGTGATATGCTTTGAGGCAGTGCTGTTGCTACACATTTGTAAAGCAGAGTGGCATTTTATTTGCACTGTGGCTTCCTTTGTCTTCTGATGGAGGACCAGCCTGGCAACTGCTGTGGAACCTACACCTTGACCTTTGTCGAATGTTCAAAGATGCATACAGACAAACTTCTTTTGTCAGACTAGTCCCTTTCTTCTTCTGACAGTAAGGAAAATGTTCCTGGTCATTTGAACCCCCGTCTCACCACTTTGTTTCTGAGTAATGTGATCTTGAGGGCCATTGACCTAGTATTTACCTCCGGGGACTCTTGACAGTAATGCCTTGAGAATCCTGTCTATGTGGTCCAAGCTAGGCATCCTGCAAGCACTTAGCACTTGTGATTAGACATAACCATTGGGCCTCTGTCCTCTTCTCTGCTCATCCCCCCAGTGACAACATAGAGCAGCACTGGATTTCACAACTCAGTTTGAAATCCATCAGCTATGTCAATGTCACCTGTATAATGCAGTCCAGAATAAAGTTTGCATTGGCAAAGCATCCATGGTGCTCCATGAGCTAACTTTTCTACACAACCTCAGCATCCACCGAGGGCCCTCCAGATACTGCTGCATTCTCTGACCCTTAGCCCTCCATTCACTCTGGCCTCAGCCTACACTTGCTGAAAGTGTGTCCTTTCTTTGGGACGTGGCTTTTGTGCCTTCCAAGATATTTGCCTGTGCTTTTCTGGTTTCTAACATAGGTTATCTCACTTCTTGCTTCCTCTTTCTCTAATGTCTTTCCTCCCTCTTTTCCTTCCTCGCATTTTTATTGGGTATCAGCTCTATGTGATACACTAGGGATAAGCCACTCAGGGCTGTGGAGGTGACCAGGAAAAACAGGCCCTCAGTTCTCGCAAAACTGTAGCAGTGGTGGCCGAAGTGCATTAGCTCATCATTACAATGCCACATAGTTAGGTAATGTGAAGGAGACATGGAAGGTTGTGAGGATTTAGAGAAGGGAACCTAAGTGTGTCCCAGTAGTACCGAAACCCCATGCAGAGGGTTCAGGTCTCCCACGTGGCAATGTGGCACGCGGATGCAAAAGAAAGACAAAGAGAATATTCTGCAGTTGAGGAGCTCTGGGATGACCAGTGTTCTCTGTGGACCAAAAGGCCACGGGTCCAAAAGCTCATGGCTTTCACTGTCATCAGTCAGGGAGATGAGTGGGGGTGGAGGTGGAGTGCTAGGAAAAAGAAACCTTGCAGGTACTGGCTGTAAAGAAAAACAGAGCAATTTTGTACTGGGCACAAAGGCCTCCAGTTATGTGTGCAAGGTTGGCACCTTCACTGCCAGGAAGGTGTAATTCTTTCTGGGTCCCATGGCCTCAGCTGAGACGTAATCTCATGTCTTAGCCCTGGAATCTCACAGGTTCTCGCTTGAGCCCCCATTCTAGTCATCAGCTGGGAGGGCAGTTCTCACCCATGTGCTGTAATGAGACATGCTGGCTTCTCAGCTGGACTCCATCACACTCTTTTAGCCAATTAAGGGGACGTGTGGTTCAGTACAGCAGCTCACGTGTCTCAGTGAGTAGGGTTGAAGGAGAGGTCAGGGAAAGCTGGAGACAAGGGACTTTGCTTCTTAAGAGAGTACAGCTCGGCAGTCTCCCACACAGGAGTCCTGGTATATCTCTTGGAGGAAGCTATAGATATTGTTTTGCTTTGTTCATTTTATTTCTTTGAGTACTTAGCAAAGATTTCAGCTGAATATTTGTTTCATGAAGCAATAAAATTCCTTGCTCAATTGCATTCACTCATTCGTTCATGCTCTTCTTCTCTAAGTGCCTTTCTGGGCCTCAGGGTCACCTTCTTTCTCCTGAGTTTTCATTTCTGTAGTGTTCCCATTTCCCTTACCCTAAATTGTCCGTCTTGTATCTGCTAAATAAAATTCAGCATCCATTGTGCGTGATGCTAGGAAAGCAGCTTCATTTTCCTCCATTTGGGGTTATTCCTCTTCCTCTCCTGGACTTCCTCTGGACTTCCTTCTCAGAATGCAGCAACCCTGTCAGCAATGCCAGTGAACTTCACTGTTCGAGCACTTACAGACTGGAGCAACCGCTTCAAGAACTCTGATATTTTGGAGCATAATGGCTCCAGTGCTTTGGAATGACGACTCTACAGATCTGGCATTCCTGTGCTAACCTGTTAGGGGATGTTCCCTCCTAGACCAGCTAATCCTCAGTGCCATTGGAGATGCACTTCCGGGAATGGTGACTAAGATTGCTTACGGAGGAATGGTGATTATTTCTTTCTTTTAAGTTTGCAGAATCTGCCTGTGGTGTGGTCCAGGTGATGCTCAATGGGTCCCTCAGTGAACCCTTCCGAAAATCCAGGTACTTATTTCTTTGAATCCTATTTGTAAGGGTCTTCATGGTTTTGGTATTAGACACTTCAGTCCTAGAGAGAATATATACTTTTCATATTTCATATCAGTAATAAAGATATGGGCTATAAAGGCACAAAAATGTATAATCTGAAAAGATTTGTCTTTCTGGGTCAATGCTTTTGTGTGCTTTCTCCTTTATCTAAAATCCTCTGAGTTTCCTAATGGTTATGACACTGTTTTCAGGCATTGCTCTTGACGTCTGTGTTAGGGCTCACCGAGGAACAGAATCAATACAAAATTGTATATTGATTATACCTGATTATACATGTATGATATACAAAGGATTTATGAGGTAGGCTTACAGGCTTAGAAGGTGAACAGGCCCACTGGCCATCAATGGCGGAAGAACCCAAAATGGCTGTCCATGTGCCGGAGAGCAAGAGGACCCAGCGAAGGCCTGGAAGCTCACCTCAGAGTCACTGGTGTGCGTCTGTGTTTGAAAGCCCAAGGTCTGCATTGGACGGCTGAAGAGTGTGGCCTGAAAGCCTGGAACAAGTGGAGAACAATGTCCAGAAGGCAACAGTGAAGACTAAAACTCATCCGAAGAAAAAGGAGAGACTTTCTTCTACTTTCCTCATTGTTATTCTACCCAGGATACAAGCCTATTGGTTGGTGCCACCCCCATCAGGAGCCAGCTTCCCCTCCTCAGTGTGTGGTCTGCATGTCAACCATCCACAGACACACCCAAGCCTTTACTGATCTACCAGGTGGTTCCTACTCAGGCCAGGTTGACACATCACAAAGAACAATCACAACTTCAGACTTGGTGCAGTTTTCTGAGCTTTCTCTTTTAGTACATGGACACTCGCATTCTCCACTCTGCCCACTCTGTTCTCTGTAGCACCCCTACAATCCTCACCACCTATGATTAACTGTCCTGGTTCCTCTACCCCCCGAAAAGAGTTTGTATCCCAATTCAGCACTAAAATTACCACTGGGAACATCAGCAACTGTGCTAGGCTCTTGACCTTCCTCATCTTTGTGCAGGCATTTCAGCAAGGCCTGGAATCCCAGGTCTTTGGGAGGCTGAGACAGGAGCATTGTAAGCTGGAGCCCAGCCTGGGCTACTTAGGGACTTAGTGAGAACCTGTCTCATAAAAAGAAAAAAAGAAAAAAAAAAAAGGCTGGGGATGTAGTTCAGTATGAAGGCCCTGAATTCAACCTCCAGTATTGAAAAAGAAAAGAGGATTCCAGACATTATTACATATAATCTGTGTGGCCTCAGACAGGCACTATGAACCGTAGTATAAGAACCTGAAGAAGAAACAGGGATACATAGATTAACTGAGATAATATTCATGAAAGGTGCTGAGCTCTGCCTAACGAAGGCACTTCTCAGTGAGGATCAGCTATTATTCTCTCATCAATCCTTGCCATGGAAGTAGCCACACTCTTGCCTTCCTTCTCTGACCTCCTTCTATATTCACAGTTTCTATCACACTGATGGACTGTTGTCCTTTTTCTCTAACTTTTGCCTGATAGGGCTGATCAGCTGAGAGATGGGAGCATATATGTATTTGTCCTGGGCATTGTAGGTGCCCTCTCTCCTTTGTGAATTTAATATGTAACTCACAAAGAGCCATTAACTCTTATGCCGTCTTCTGACATTCTTCTTCTGTGGACTCTTGGGCGAAAGTGAGCATGTGAGGATTTCATGCTCTGATGTTAGGGCTCTAAGTACTTGGGACAGGAGGGACGGCTGTCAGAGATGAGCGGGGAGTTAGAAATGAGGTCAGGGCACATCATGGGCTGCTCAGACTTGGCTGAGTGTGGGAACCACCTGGGAGCAGTTCAGGCCCGGGCTAATTCAGCAGGTGGTGGAGGGCTGAGACCTAATGGTTCTAACTATCTTGCTGGTGATCTGCATATGTAGATCTGGGACTCACTCTGAGTATCAGCTTTTTGTTGCTTTGACCAAATACCTGGGAAAAACAACTTCAGTGAAATAAAGGTTTATTTAAGCTCCTAGTTTCAAAGGTTTCCTTCTAAGGTGGGCCGGCTCCAGGGCAGAGATATCGTGGCAGAAGGGCAGTGCAGAGCAATGCGGCTCAACCCATGTCAGCCAGGAAGCAGAGACAGCAAAAAAGCTGGAGAAGCAGGGGCGCAGAGCCTGACAGCGCCCCTGGGCTCACAGCCCCATGACTCACCAGCACACACCCGGAAGTGTGCTTCACTGATCTCCAAGGCGTCTCCCAAGCCCATCAAGATGACAGTCAAGATGAACCACCCCAAGTAGCAAGTATTTTAAAAACTCAGGGCCAATGTGCAGGTTAAAATTCTTATCTTGAAAATCTTTGTTAATTCAGAATTGTGTTGAAAGGGAAAAGGCGATAGTTTCTAAGGTAAAATTAGGGTTGATTCCCAGGAGTAGGTCTAACCAATGGTGTCTAGCCTTCTGGTTTTTGACAGGAGGCATAGTTGCCCCCCAACTAAAGTTTGAGGTTGAGAATACTCGTTGTCTGTTCTATTTTAGCACTTTTGGAAGTGTGGAAGTCTTTAATTTGGATCCAAGGAAGGTCCATACATTACAGGCCTGGGTGATGCATGACATCGGAGGAATTTCCAGGTAAATCTTACTCCTGCTGACCCAGGACACATTTCCATGAGCTAGCCCACAGAAGAATGCACACTTAGAAGAACACACTGGGAACAGACTCAGAAGACACTCCAGCTCAGGAGATGAATGGGGCTTTACATTTAGCTCATCCCAACAACCTCTTAATTTTATCTCCACAATGGACATCTAACTGGTTCACACCTTCAGCTCCCTGCTGACCTGAAAACTCTTCAAAGTAGACTTCTGCTCCATCGTTTTATCCCAGGGCTTTGCCTAGGGCCTCCTCAGATGAAGAATCTAAGTAGACTCTGGAGGTGTTTGCGACATATTGTTATTTTGACATCTTCTTTCTTCCCCAGTGACTCATGCTCGAGTGCTTCCATCAATGAACTGAAGTCAATTGTGACTGAAAGGAATATGACATTTACCTGCCAGAATAACTACAGGTGATTGCTTTGTTTTTGAAGAAATAGATTTCTTGCCCTCTCACCTTTCCCTGGTCTCCTCTGAGCTGGGATCCCTCTTGGGCCTCCAGGGTGATTTCTGTCCGTCTGCCGAGTCTGGCTCAGAAAGTTTTCCTAGCCAGGGGGCTTCACCTAGCAACTTCTCTCCATCACTCTCCTCTCTCACTGCCAGCCCCACACTGTGTCCTGCCCCTGAATCTGACCCAGCCTTTAAGGGCCTGTCTGCTGGCTTCCAAGTGAGTGGCTATGCCCAGGGCTGATGCACTTGCTGGATTTCAGAGGAGCAGAGGTAGGTTTTGCCGAGACCTATCTCCCACTTGGTGGAAACCCTGAAGGTTGGCATACATAGGCATGTGAAATCTCCTTAGTTGGATCTGCGTGTAGATGCCTAATACTTGGTAAGTTGCTACCAAGATGCCTAATGCTTGCTAAGTGGCAGTCTACTAACATTTGCCTTTTTTAAATAAAAAAAGTAAAAATCTTAACGAAAATGTTTAAAGTTACAGACAGGTACAGTATGTATTTTTTAAAGTCACCTGTAACTTTGTTTTCAAAATGGGACCTATTCCTCTTTTTTCTTCTTTTTTCTCCTTTTTCTCACTTTCTCTCTCTTTCTCTCTCTCTTTCCTTTTCTGCCATATGACATATTGAACCCAGCCCTCCATTCATTTTTAAGTACTTCTGGGCAAGAATACAGGTGGGGACACATGACTAGAAGAATCTTTGAAGCTCTTCCTGTGTATAGTATCTTAGAAAAAACTAATACAGACAGAAAAATTTTTCAAAGAGTATAGAAGCTGAGCTGCTAGAATATTTTTTCTGTCCTCTCATCCCATCAACCAGCAGAAGGACAGACTCAAGAGTCTCTCACGAATGACTCTTGTTTTCCAAATTCTCCAACACTCAGCTGTCTCCTATCTGGAAACTTGCAGAAAATCACACACGTAAGCTGTAGTCATTAGATAGGAAAGCAGAACGAGCTATAGAAGAAACTGATCAGTCTGATACTCCAAGACATTTTGTATGGAGAAAACAGAGTACTGGGAGCCTAGGAGAAGACTGGGGAATGCAGGGGCTCTTACCCAACAGTCTTCTTTATTCTATATTAAACATTTCCCCACGCCTCGTTAATGGCCAGAAACCTTTATATTAAACCCATCAGCTACTTTCACTTATGCTCAGGTGAGCTCACTCGTTCTCCATCTGGGAAGAATATGTAGGCATAGCTTTTACTTGGATTCAGACAGACAGCGGCTCCTTCATAAGCCGACACTTGGCATTCAGAGCATCAGAATTTGTGACCTTAAATGTGGGGATCTAGTAAAGTCACTGCTTGTTTTCTCCAACCAAGAGGACTAATGTACTTGGCATAACCCTTTGGGCCTCATTGATGATGTCGAGCGATGACCTGTAGGAGGTCTTGTTGTCAGCTGAGTTGCTTTGGAGCCCAAAGCGAATGTTATGGACATATGCATAGCTTATAGTCCAGTAATTTCAATTTCCCCATCCCAAATGTACCTTTCCATTTCCAACAACTTTCATCTAGCTGCCTAGATATGACTATTTAATGAATAAACAGAAGTGTAATTCCATTTCTATAGATTAGATTTCCTAATGATTCTGATATTATCCTCTAATGAACCCCACTAGTCAAAGAAAACACTACTGACATTTGGCTTTGTGTCCTTTAGGAATTTTCCTTTCTTTCTTTACACACACTCATGCTCTTGATAAAACACGTATAGAATTTATTAACATAGGTTTTAACCAGTGGATGAATACCTGTAACAGATTTTTTGGGGAGTTCCATAAAAACAGCAAATGATTAGCGTGTGTTAGCTGGTTGTTATCCACTAGTGGGATACAAAAAAAAAAAACAAAAGACAACCAAAACAATAAAATATCTGTTTTAAGGAGTGCATTAATTCCTCTGTTACTTTAAAATATACTCTGGGCTTATCCCTTAAAATATTATCCAACATATGAGAGGTGTGTCCATTTTACTAGAACATTGGATGTGAGTACTTACATATTTATGGAGAGAGATCGTCTTAACAATATAATTGCTGCTGCTTTTCCATAATGGAATTCCCAATAAATCAGAAACTGTAATTAAACATAATCATATTTCCTTCATTTAATATAAGGCAAAAGTAGCTTCAGAAGTCCTAACTGGCCTAGAGATGTTCCTTTTCCATAGGAGGGGAGTTCCGTAAGGAAGAGACATGCTCTTTGCCTAGAACGTATTCATGTGGGAAATCCCAGCTTACCAAACTGTTGGGATGATGTGACTTTGCACTTACAGCCACAGTACCCAGCTGGTCAAGACAGTGGCTTCAGGTGAGCCTGAGATGGCCCATCACAAGGGCAGGTTCTGACACTTCTCCCTCCCAGAAGCTGCTACTTCTAAGGCTCTCCTCTTCCTCACATGTAGCAAAAGCAGATTTAACTATGATTTAATGATACTTCCCCTCCTACCCACCCCGGCCTAGCCATGAAGCAGCCATTCTCTTTGGACCCTGTGGCTTTTTAGCTCATATTTATGGAAAAGATAGTCTTTACCTGGTGGATACTTATCTCCAGTTTGTTCTATGCAAAAAAGGTCAGGTAGCCCAGCATGGCGGTACACACCTATAAACCCAGTGCTCTGGGAGAATGAGGTAGGATTGCAAGTTAGAAACTATCCTGAGTGACATAGTGAGAGTCTATTTCAAAATAGGGAAGAGAGGAGAGGAGAAGAGAGGAGAGGAGAGGAGGAGAGGGGAGGGGAGGAGAGGAGAGGAGAGAATAGTAGAGGAGAGGAGAGGAGAGGAGAGGGAGAAAAATAGGTATGGGATGTAGCTCAGTGTAAAGTCCTTGGGCTCAAGCCTTAGTACAGCAAAACCAAAACCAAACCAAACCAACCAAACAACAGCAACCCCAATAACCCATGATCCTCTGCCAATGGCTTCCAAGCACCTCTTGTAGGGTCCATCACACCTGAGCTGCCTCTTCCCCTTTGATCCAACAGTCCCTCCAGAAGTTCCTGAAGAGGGGAGACATCATCATCAGGGACTATTGGTGTCCTAGGTCCCAGTGGCTGCTTCTGCTGGCCCTCAGTCATCAGCTGACATTGCTAACATTGGTCTGTGACACTCTGGAGCCTGATGCCCCTTCTCACAGCCATCTATTACCACCCACCACCCCTTCTTGGTGCTTATTGATATGGCTTTGCAAATGAAACAAAACTAAATTGAACCTCACTTTCTTTCTGTTTTTAATACATCTAATTTAAAAACATATTTTATTTTAATGTAATGCAAGTAGATATTAATAAATAAAATATTAAAAATTCTATGAAAAAATAAAACAAAATTTTGTAACAAAATAATTGGAGAATAACAATGGTTAATATATCATGTATCATGATCTTAAAAGAATGACTAAAATGTTACTCAGAGCATAAGTCACACTAAATAAAGTCTCTGTCTTACAAAGAAGAAACAAGTAAAAGCACAAAAGTTTCTTTTTTTTTTTTTTTTTTTTTTTTTTTTTTTTCTAGTACCGGGAATCGAACTCATGTCATTGAGCTTGCCAGGCAGGTGCTGTGCCACTGAGCTAAATCCCCAGCCCCTATTTATTAGTTTTGTGAACTGCTGAAGTGTTATACATTTTTTGGCAGACTGTATACATGGATAGATAGCTCATATCAGAGAAACAATGCAGGGGCTGAGGATTTAACTCAACGCACAGTGCCTGCCCAGCAAGCGCAAGGTCGTGAGTTCGATTCCCGGTACTGGGAAAAAAAAAAAAAAAAAGAAACAATGCAATATTTAAGCTTGTGCATCTGATTTATTTCACTTAACCTTATGTTTTAAGTTGCATCAATTTGCATACAAATGCCTCAAGTTTATCTTTCTCTATGGCAGAATAATACTGTATTGTAAATAAGTATCACATTTTCTTTATCCATTTATCTGTTGATAAACATACATGTTATTTCCAAGAACTAGCTATTATAAATTGTGCTGCCAAAAAACATGGTAATATTTGTGTAATATAATATCTTTAAATTTTGGGGAAAGATACCTAGAAGGGGGATATCTGGATCAAATGGAATTATGATTTTTAATTTTTGAAGGAATCACCACACTGATTTCCATCGTGGTTATACTAGTTTACACTCCCATCAACAGTGTACAAGATTTCCTTTTCCACAGGTCCTCACCAGCATTTGTTATTATTTGATGTTTTGATGATAGCCATTCTTTCTGGGGTAAGATGGTATCTCAATGTAGTTTTAATTTGCATTTCTCTAATGGCCAGTGATGTTGAACATCCTTTCTTGTGCTTATCGGCCATTTGTACTTCTTCAGAGAGGTGTCTATTCATTTGAGTTGTCCAATTTTTGACTGTCATTTATTTTGGGAGGCCTAGTTTTTTTGAGATTTTTATGTATTCTAGATAACTAAAATCTAAATGAATCAAAGATCTAAATGCTAAAAAAGAAACAATCTGCTGGGAGATAAAACAGGTAAAACACTTGAAAACAAAGGTATGGATAATGTCTTCCTGAACAGATTCCCAACAGCACAAGGAATAATATCAAGAATTAAAAATAGTATCTCATCAAACTGAAAAGCTTCTGCACCACCGCCAACAGAGCGAGGAGACAACCTACCAATGGGAAAAATATCAGCCACTTAGCAGTCAGTCAGCCACACTTTGAAGTCACCCTCGCCCGGCACAATGGGGAGAGGAGCATGTGCGGACGTTTATTGGTTCTTGCGTACTTTGTTGCTAAAGAATGGGCTTCTCTTATTAGTGAGCAGGACCATCATTGTGTCATCCCTCTTCTTGATCTCTTCTTTTTGCTCCCCTCTCCCAGGCCTGTCAGGTTTATTCAATGTGTGAAAAATCCTGAGCATCCGTCTTGCACATCTGAGATCTGAGCCATGGTTGTGTTAGATCTTGGATGCTTTGTGGTACACAGGACTCAACAACACCCCATGGAAAGCGGATGACTTGGGCGAGAATTCTCAATCAGAAGGTCAACACCAAAGACGGAAGCTTTGTCCCTCAAAGTACCAAGATAACATATGTTATCAGCATAGTTTTTTTTGTGTGTGTTCTACTAATATTCAACAAAAATTGTATAAAATTAGAATGAAGATTTTATACTAAGTTATTTTTAAAATTTTTTTTTCATGTTTTGCGCTTATGTTGTTTATATATTGGTAACTTTTGGGGGGCAGTGCTAGCAGTTAAGCCAGTGTCTCATGCAAGTCAGGCAAGTGCTGTATGACTGAACTACATCCCCAGTGCAGCTAGTACCATACTTTCTGATGAAAAATGACCCCAGCAAACCTCTCTTATTAAAACAGGCAAAAGAGGAAAATAAAATGCTCCAACTTTTCAGAAGACAGTACAGCCCAAGCAAACAACTTTATCTCATGATCTATATTTGCACCCTTCCTAAGGCTAAAGTCATACATTTAGTATCAACATAGGAGTTGGATTTGAACTCCGCTCCTTCCAGCTCCAAAGTATATGTAGTATGTGTAGTTTCTCCTTCTAGGCATATAATACCAAGCTGACAACATCTTATGTCCTCCAACAAATGTGTGTCAGATGAAATTAAACACAATAAAATCTAGAGTATGATCTTTCTAGATGGTATCAAAACAGATTAATTTTTTCCTCCTCATGTTCAATATCTTACATAGAGTCCGCTGTTAAAATACATTTGATCTTGATACCGGTCATTTATGTTTTCTTCCTTTTTTCCTTAGATTAGTTTTGTTTGAGATTTATCCATTTTATCATTTTTTAAAAGAACTGACATTTAGCTTTGTTGATTTTCTCTATTTACTTGGTTTTTGCTCTTTATTTTTAGAAATATAAAAATTTCTTCTGATTTCTCCAAGTATCTTTATTCAGTTTCTTGAGATGGAAGCTCAGGTCACTGCTTTTTGAGCCTGTTTTCTCTTCTTTTACATGTTTTTTAGGAGTATAAATTTTCCTCGGAGCCCTGCTTTGGTTGCAGCTCTTAGGTTTCCATATGTCTTTTTTGACTATCATTCAGTTAGAAGTATTTTCTGATTTCATTGTTATGAAGAAGTATGTTGCTGGAGATTTATTATTTTTCCAAAAACAGATGCACTGAATGAGAATTAAAACATGAAGGCTAGGCTTCTTCAAAGAATTTCCTTGGTTTGTTGAAGATGGAATAAATGTTGGAATCAAATATTTCTGGGTTATATTTTGGACCACTCTTTTTTTTTTTTTTTTTTTTTGGTTTTTCTCCGGTACCGGGAACCGAACTCACGACCTTGCGCTTGCCAGGCAGGCGCTTTTGCCGCTGAGCTAAATCCCCAGCCCCTTGGACCACTCTGTATTTACCTTTGGCCATGCAGCCATCTTGTCTCCAACCCCAGGGACTTGCTGGTCTACATATCAATGGATGCCCGTGGTCCTCTTCTCATTGGTAACTGCTGCATTACTAGTTGTTCATGTACTTCACATTTTAGCCACAAACGTGCTGTTCTCATCTCCCCATTCTGTTCTTGCTTGATCTAGAAAATTCTCTCACTATCCCTACTTTACATGCCATCATTACCATCTGAAGGGTAGAAATGCTTTCAGTCCTAATGTCACTTCCAAATTTCTTAAGGCTCACAGTCTTCCTTTTGTGATGACTTTGACCTTATCATGTGTAAAGCACATTTGCAAATAGAGTTGTGAAATGTTAGGCTTGAATACTTGAAACGATATACATATGTATATAAGTAAGTGTATCTAAATGTGTGTGTATGCTTTCCTGTTAAAACAAAACAAAACAAAACAACCCCGTGCCTGTCATTGAAGCATTCAGCAATATTCTGTAGCTCACAAAGCTATCAAATATCTTGGTAAAACACACTGTTTCTTTGGTTTTGTCTGGGGCAGTTTCTGAGCCTTTCTTAATGTTTAAAACAAGCACAGCCCAGGCCTGCACACCCTTTGACTCAAAGGACACAACCCCAGCAGCATTGCTTCCTTCTCTGTGACACACACCTCTTTAAAACAGTCCCTAAATCTAACACTGTGTGCCCCAGGGAGACTACTGCACAGAACTCTGCTTGGGTTGGTTGTTAAATGGAAAGTAGTTACATACACTGGTTTTTATGCAAAACAATAAAAACTATTTAAAGAAAAATTAAAGCATATGTGGAAGACTATAATTTAAAAAGCATTTTACAAGTGTAGTTTTAACCCAGACATTTTTCTACAGTTTTTTTCTAAATAATAAAGCAATTAATTTCCTTCTATTATAAGGAGGCATCATTTTAATGTACATCTTTAAAGAGTCCATCAAGAACTCAGTAGCTGGATGCTACCCTGAGAGACAGTGGTCAGCGGGCCCTCAGCCCACACACAAAACAGAGAAGGATTTGCACTGTACCCCAATAGAGTGTTTATCCCTGAACTTGACTGACTCATAGCTACGCACTGCCATTCTCATCCTCTGATTAGAAGAAGAGTAGCTTGAGATATGAAAATCACAGAACTAAAAGGCAGGTGAGCCCCTGGGAAAGTTCACCAACATCTGTGAATTTCTAGTTTGGAATATGGTGATCACATACAAACTGAGTTATATAAGCAGACATGGTGGTGTATGCCTGTAATCCCAGCACTCTAGGAGGCTGAAGCTAGAGGATTACAAGTTCAAGCCCAGCCTGGGCAACTTAGTGATTTATGGAGACCCTGTTTCAAAATTAATAATTAAAAAGGGGGCTGAGGATGTAGCTCAGTGCAAAAGCCCTGGGCTCAATCTTTAGTAACAAAAAATTATACAAACAATAGAAGAATAAGACTGGTGGAAACAGTTTTTAAAAATAGTTGTCTCTGGGTTTGAAGGAAGAAAAAACAGATATGTTAAAGTGCTGCCAAAGTTCACAGGAGCTCATGCCTACTCTGTGCCATGACTGAGTTCGGTGGCTGAAGACAGGATGTGCTGTCTTTCTGGGTGTGGCTTGTGGGTGGGAGAGGTAAGGACAGATGTCAAAAAGAGTCCAGATGTGCACCTTGTTGGACACCTGGAAGTACTCCTTCTCTTTTCCTGTTGGGACATCAAAGAAGGAAGAGTATTGTTTTGCTTTCCAGTAAGCGTCTCAGATTTGAGAATCACACAGGACCCATCTTTGTTTGCCATTAAGGAAATTCACCTATGGACATCTGCGACTGTGATGTAGTGACAGCAAAATATGTGATTCTTAGTAAGTGACACAAAGTGAATTGGCTAAAGCCTTGCTACAAAATGCAGGCCTGTGGAGAAGAAGACTGACATTGCTCATATGAGGCACTTCACAGGTTGCAGCAGCCGGTGATCTCTGAGGCAATGATACCGTGCAACTTTGGCTGAAAATAAATTTTTTGAAGACTATCAGTAGCTTATGGTTCACCAGGAAGGCCAGGGAATAGTTTGGAAGTCAGCCAGCCAAAGAACATCACCCCCAGATACGCCCCGAATGGTCAGGTAGAAAAGTCAGTGCTTGCCCCATGGACACTTGCTGTCCCTCTGTCCCTGAACACAGCCATGACTTTCTCAGAACAGAAGTAGCCCAAGTGGAACGACAGGTGATAATGGTGCATGGCTCCTAGTACTGCCTTCCTTGCTGTGCCAGCCTCAAATTCACGTTTACACAGATCTATCTGGTCTGATGAGAGCCTGCTCTAAGTGAAATGCTTGGAACAGAGCTCAATTTCTGTCTGCAGAATGGAGTGAGAGTGGCACTTACCTCTGTTGTTTTGACACTAAGCAGGATGAGGGGTTAGGTGTGTTCCATCAGTGTTATCTTTTAGAAAGATGTTAGAACATGTTTTTATCCTGGAGGAAATTCCTCAACAAGTCACTTTGGTTTAGAAGTGGAGCAGGGGAGAGAATGGCCCCCTGGCTAACCATCAGCCTCATAAATTTTAATTATTCTACAACGTCATTAGAGGTACTGACTTAAACTCAAATCAATCATTAAAGACACATTACTTGAGAGCCATTTGTTGGGTATGTTGCAAATGTAGGAGCTGACACTGTAGTAGCAGATGCCTCCCTGCAACAGCCAGTATATTTTAGTTTGTTAGTTGCCCAGGTAATAGTTTTGGTTACAGTTCCTGTTATTTTTGTCTCTTAGAAACAGCTGGTCACTGTGACGCAAAGCTGGTCACCCACTGTTTAAACCAACCCCCAACTGACAAGCACTTTTGGAGGCTGTGAAAATTTATCCACTTCTCAGATGATTCAGGAGAAATAGTCATGTCAGGGAAAGACGGAAAATCCCAGCTGGAGTTTGTGTGCAATGTCTGGAATTCACATTGTAGCAGAAGATGCCACCCCGCTCCCAATATACTTCAGTTTGTTAGTTGCCCAGGTGATAGTTGCAGTTATAGTTACTGTTACTTTTGTTTCTTAGAAAAGGCTGGTCACTGTGATGCATAGCTGGTCACTATGATGTACATTGTAAGAACCAATCCACAATTGACAAGCCATTCTGCTTCTGTACTTCTTGCTTGCTTATCCCATATAAGTCCTAGACCAATAGAAATCAGAGCCTGATATTTGGGGAATGATCCTAATCAGTGCCTGTTGTTGTAAATAAATCTGCCTCCAAATCCTGGATGAGGTTTCAGGTTTCTGCTTGCCGTAGCAATATGAAAGGACACTGGTCAGTTCTTCTGTATTTAATTTCATTTCTTAGTGGAAGACTGATTTTTTTTTTTTTTTTTTTTAAGCCTAAGGAAGTGGAAAAAAGCCCAGAGAAAGAGAGAATAGGTGTTCATGAGTAGGAGAACCAGGTGGATGTGGGTTGGATAGAAGAACGTTCTGAAAAGTTAAAAACAGCAAGCCAGCACTGGGCAGGGAGCTTGGTGGTAGAGAGCTTGCCCAGCATGCACCAGGTACTAGGTTCAATTGCCAGCACCAAAATATACTCAAAGCTTTAAGTTAAAAAAAATTTCAATGTCAAACTATGGCAAATTCCATTTCTTCAAATTCAAGGCACTCATTCATTTCATATCAGCAAATTTCAAAAATTGGGAATATCTTACAATTCATATTTAATTTTTCTTAAAAGCTAATATTTATTGATGACACAGCATTAATATAATATAATATATAATATAATGGGATTTATAGTACAGGAAATTGGTTATTCTAAATTTTGATATCCCACTGCTGCCTACTTTTATCCAGGTCAAGAAAAGTCCAGTGGTTATGAGTCCATCACCTTCACAGGAAAGGAAAAGGAAAGGAAAACAAAACTACAAAGCTAACATAACTTGATGGAAGAAAAATACAGCAGGAAGTAATCACTGAGGCCCTAAATTTGTGCCTGCCTCACAGCTCACCAGAGTGACTTGTTACCTGGTCTTCTGTGTTTCCAGGGTGTTGTGTGCCATGGGTCAAACCTGGTCACTTATTTGTAGCTCTCCCTCCCTGACTTGAGCAGGGCTCACCTTGCTCTCTAAGCTAAGACGACTGTCTTAGCCTTCAGTTCCCCATCTCCTCTCCAAAAAAGACATTGCTAGATACTTCGACATTCCCTCAATGGCAAAATGAAATGTTAAGTGTAGGATTTCCTTGTCTACTAATTCTATCTCTGAGACACCTGTCCCAGAACTGTCAGAGTACATGCTCCAAAAACATTAGTTCTCCTTTTTCCCTTCCAAATCAGCCACTTCTCACTTAGTGCCTCGCAGTATGGAATCTCTCTAGGGAATGTGTTTTTTCATATAGTTTAACCAACATAGGACCTCAAGGAATTAGACAAAAAAACAGTGATAGTAAGAACTGCAAGAAAAAGAACACAAGAACAGATATTTGTTGGACCCTTCATACTGAGCCTTGGGCGCATCAGTTTTTAAAAATTTTTTATCAGTACATGTTTCCAACATGATGTTCACGTTCCTGTGGGGAGCAGGTACCTGTGAAGGACACATTTTAATGCTTTTGCTCAACCTTTCCCCTTCCTCTTCATCCCTGTCCCTTCATCTCTTAGCTCCTATCCAACATGAGAAAAATCTCTCTCTCTCTGTCTCTGTCTCTCTCTGTTTCTCTCTCTCTCTCTTCCTCTCTGTCTCCCTCCCTCTCTCCCTTTACAATTGATCCTAGCCAAAAGGCTGGGGAGGGATGACCATTTTTGGTGTACTATACTCATTATCTCATTTAATCCTTGCCATGTTCTCATGGGGTGGACGCTACTATGATTTCTT